CACACCGCGTCATAACTTCTAACCGAAAGGAACTAACATGTACATAATCAACCTTGATTATAAAAACACAAAAAAACAACCTTGATGTCAAAATGGATAAGGAATAATATCGTAATACAAATGTCATCACCTTTCGATTCTACTGGTGTTTTGATTCACTAATTTGAACAAAAAGCGGTTATTGTGACTTAACTATACCTAATAGTTAGATCTATAGCCTTGCGGACTTTTTTGTGGACAATGAGTTCTATAAACATGTCTATATAAGTTTTCTATAAGCATATCTAATCATTCGCAGCGTACGTCAAATTATGACTTCTATAGGGAAATATTTTGATACATTGGGTTAACATTATTGCAATTTTCGTAGAGATCTCTATTTTTTTGAAAATAAAATATAGCCTATGTTATTCGTTGATAATGTATATTTCTATAGCTGAAAGAGTTTTAAAATCGATTTAGTAGTATTATCTTCTCTTTTATAATATTAGTTTATATAAAAATTATATTAAAGTATTGCCTGAATAATTTATTCGTCCTCGTGGGAGTCTATCGAATCGGAAACGCCTACTGCCAAATTTAAATTAATAATATTATGCTTTCACTCACGTTTTCGTTGGAGAAACTTTTGTAACGTCTGTAGATTATGCTGAGACATATATTTTATATACGTGCTGATGTGTTAACTCTAGTTTTAAAGAATTAGCTTTAATGTTTATAATAGACTCCCACACAAAAAAGTTGCATGATACAAAAGATAAAAGAGAAATTGTATGATGAGAGCTTTTTAATAGTAACGAGGCATTCCATATTAGCCTTTAGGGATGACAACGCATCTGCATTTTGTTTCTCAATCGAGAATGGATAAAGATGTCTCTGAGCCACTGCATTCACTTAAAATAAGTCTGTGTACTCGTTTACCATCCTTAACTCTATTGAAAAAAATATATTTCTATGTAGTACGGATACTTTTCCGTGTCTTTGTCTGTCAGTCTAGTAAAATGGTGGAACGCCTTTTTAGCTTTTACTGTCGCTAAGTTCTGGGTGCATCCACTGCTAGAATTTAGTGTGAAGAAAATATTATAATTATATAATAAATTACTTTTATAAATTATTTAAACAAATATAAAACTACATTTCTTTATTGTCTTGACTGCCGATTTAATAAAGGCATCTTAGTCCTTTTTTAGAACGAAAAGTTCGACCGAAAATTGACTATGATTATACATGCAGTATTATATTATGGCTAAAAATTAAAACCAAAAACTGAAATTTCAAGTGTAAACCTTTTTTGGATTAATGGTAATTAAAAAATAAATCTACATACATAAGTTATGTTAACGTGTAAAAATAAAAAATAAATTAGTTTATTCGTACATAGTTTCATTATTTAATGTAATAACAAAAAAATATATATATATATATTTAACTGGCACATGTAATGTTTTAATTGTTTTTAAAAAATTATTTCTAAATTTGAACAGTTTCATATACCTACGCAAGGAATTATAACTTTTCTACATTTCTTCATATCTCTCAGTAGGTATAATTAATGAACCGTATGAACTGAATAAAAGACATGTTTGTGCTTTCGTATTCGGCGCGTGCCATATAAAATGTAAATTATAGGCAAAAACTAAAACAGTTCAAAAATATTACAATGGGCAAAACGGTCGAAATACATAAACGAAATTCGTCGTTCATTCATCGTCGGACGCAAATCGCAACGCATCTGAAGCCTTTTTATTAAAAATTGTAGTGATGGACTTCAGCTATGATCAGTGGAATTGACTAGAGGTAGCAACTAGGCGGTAGGACCGCTTTTCGGATTAATGATTCCGTCTGAGTACCACCCTCTTGTCTATTCCTGGCACCAAATAGCAGAATGTGCACTGATTTGTTTCAGACTGAACGATATATCATCATATCTTCAAAGGCGTCAGCAGTCGGTTTGCACTGACGAGCTATCACCTAGCTTGCTTGACATACGTGCTGGTGTTCCTCAAGGCGGTATATTATCTCTTTTGTTGTTTTCTATATCAATTAATCTCATCACCCTGAACCTTCAGTCTGCGTATTGACTGTATGCCGATGACTTGTAATTGTACACAAACGAGCATAAACGATATTTCTATAGCGGTGGACATAATTAACAAGGATCTTGAGTACATTAAGAACAGGTGTGACAGGTTCCGCCTAATCGTCAACCCTTCGAAATGTCAGTCCATAATAACTGGTAGCCGTCGGATGATCCAGAGATTGCAAACAGTAACTCTACCTACTATCTTTTTTAATAGTACTGAGATTAAATTGTGTTCTACTATGAAGGATCTAGGTTTATTAATTGATTCCACCTCGAGTTGTAAAGCCCAAGCAACGACCGTTAGCCAGAAAGTCACTAGCACACTGCGTTCTCTCTATCGCCTAAAAAATTTCCTACCATCCGAAATTAAGACAACGCCTGTGCAAAGTTTAATTTTTCCCCTTATCAACTATGGTAATGTGTGTTATTTCGACCTAAAAGCAGATCTTCTCGACAAATATGACCGTCATCTGAATACTGCATTCGATTCATTTTCAATCTTCGAAAGTATGATCACGTATCCACGTATCGATCTCGATTTAAATGGTTATCTATTCGTCAACGCCGTGGTTTGCGCGCACTTACCATCCGTTATTCTATCCTTATGTCTCCAACTTCCCCTTCCTACTTATCTCCTTACATTCAGCAAGAACCCAACTCTACTTCTACTACCTGCTAGTACCTTCTTACTATGTATATTATATAAATATATTTACGTAAATTTACTTAAATATATTTTCTCATTCTATCTCTGCATGGTAGGTACCACCCCAAGGTAGACTGGTAGAGAAAGCCTTAGGCATTAAGTCCGCCTATAAATAAATAGATATGTAGAGACAGTATAATTAGATATGGGACATTCCATCTTAGTCCTTAGTGGTGACAACGAAACTTTAGCCTTCTTTATTTGAAATTGGTTGCTGGTATCCATAGGCTGCAGTAAACACTTAACTTCAGGTGTCATCAACATATTTACAAGACTTAAAATTTCAAAACTGAGATTTTTTACGTTTAATCTTCAACGGGCAGGGTTATGTTCGAAATGTTAAGCAATTAACCGTTAAACACATAACATAAATGTACATGATATTTCTGTCAAAACATGAACTTCTAAAAACCAGAGTTACTTGAGATTAATGGAACGGTTTGTTTGTTAATGCGAAAGTCTTGTAGTAGGCAGTAAATTGACGACAAAAAATCTTTTCATTTGCACATTCCCAAAGGCTAATTGATCTCAATAACGTATGCTTTGAAGTTTGACAAACTACTGGAAAACGGTAATCGAGCAAACGTCGGACTTTGAGCAACAGAGAGAACGAAAAACATGTTTTCAAATAAGTTCTTTTTAAATTGACAAACAGCGGAGTAATTTTGGTGTTGACATATATTTTGGATTAAAACCGAATTTAAACCATAATCAAAATAACAAAAAATGGCAGAAAAGCATAATATTGTTTATCCCTTTATACCGTACTAGATATTATATCGGATGCTAAAATATTCCAACCCTGATTATAAAAAATTTTAAAAGTTACAGCCTATATACGTCCCACTTTCACTCATGGGCACAGGGCTCCTGCTCATTTGTAAGAGGGTTTTAGGGCAATAAATTGTCCGCCACGCTGCCCCATTGCGTGTTGGCGAACTTCACATATCTTCTAAATAATTTATATTCCTATGTTTCAGACATGCAGGTTTCCTCATGATGTTTTCCTTCACCGCTGATCACGTGGTAAATCAGCACTTAAAATTGCAATTAAAAATTTCATTGGTGCCGGCGGGGATCGAATCCGGTTCATCCGGTTTACAACCCTGATTATACAACACTATTATGGTTAGTCTACTATATATCTTTATACAGTATAATTCTTATGTACGTGTGTTTTTCACTAAACTCTTAAACAAACTGGCTGGACCGATTTTGATAAAAAAAAATTATGGCTTTGAGTGGGTCCGTGGACGGCTTAGATTTAGAATTGTACCTGGTAGGTGGCGCTGTTGTCGGGATCCAAAAATCACCCATGTGAAGCCCGGGTGGATCGCTAGCATCCACATATATTAATTGATAGAATCAGGCGTTACTTTGCGAAAATCCATTATAATAAAGATATTAAAAGTAATTTTGCAACCATCCGCCAATTAAATACAATGATGTGTCTAACCTAGATTGAAGAGCACCTCCCGCCCTACCTCAATTGCGTGCATTAGTGCATTAGTGCACGGGATTATTCCCGCGCCACTAATCCCAGCACCACTACTCCCAACACCACTATTATAGTAAAGACATCTTTAGGTGATGTATACTTTTAGCGGTCAGCCGCCTACATCACCTGAAGATGCCTCGTGTAGAGGCGAAACATGTGTCGTATTACAGATACATCAGATATCTACTTACAGATCTTCGATACAAACTAAACATACAGATCGCCGATAGTGTCTTTCCTAGAATAGTGGTGTTGGGAGTAGTGGTGCTGGGATTAGTGGCGACGGGATTAGTGCATGCAATTGAGGGAGGGCGGGAGGTGCTCTTCAATCCAGGTAAGACACATCATTGTATTTAATTGGCGGATGGTTGCAACATAACTATTAATATCTTTATTCACATATATTTCCTCCTTGAAAGAGTTGTACTTACTCACCATGCTGGGTATGTGGGTCTGTGAAGTCTGTGTCGTTTTTGTATGGATTCCTCATCATAAATTATTCATCAACACTATAACCATTCGGCAAGGCACCGCATTCTGATAATTAGTAAATCCTGATGCCTGAGGACTAAGCATCCCTGAGGACTATGATGAAATGTCTTATTAATAGTAAGAAGGGTTTCATTGCAACTTTTCACACTTCACTCAGTAAAATTGTGTATATTTGATTGTTTTTTTTTATTTGCAGAAAGCATAATGAGTAAAAGGCAAAGATGACGTCAGCGCTGCTGGTGGCGTTAACAGTGCTCATCGTTGCGGGAGCAGCAAATTCGCAACTCCGTCCCGAAGACGCGCCTCCTGCCATAAACGACACACGTGCGTGAGTCCTTAGCATTATTCAAATATTTTTTTAACTATGATAATAATAATAATTTTACTTCAGACCAAGAGTATATACTATATACACAATATTGACTTATAGTAGTTACATATCAATTTAATCCTATAACTACGCCCATCCAGTGATTCTGAATGGGTCAGTCATATCTTACAGATATCGCTCTAAGGAGCTGTCGCTGCTGCTTTGTAAGTGCTGTAAAAGCGCGGCCATTTTCTTGCGAATAATCGCTTGGAAAGTGTGAGTACGCGGGAAGTCAAAAGCAAACTGGAAAACAAGGAAATTTCGCCCGCAGGATTAATAAAGTCATATTTCAGTATTCAGACTCAACCTGAATGGTCTCAGTTTATTGATAGGTACATCTGAATCGAAAAGTCTAGATTTAAGCCTCAGCCAAAGTTTTTACATCAATCACCACGTTCAGTTAACCTTTCTTGTTTTATATCTTTTAATTTAATGTATCTAATACTGAATATACAATGCACACATTTTTTTTTTAAATTAATGTGATCTAGTGTTTGTACGATGTGCCCGCCGGCCCAAACATTTAATAACGATTTTTTCATTGTCTTTATATGGTTGCGATATTATCATATTATGTCGCTAGGTCACGTAACCGCAATCGTGTTTTGGACTCGCTGTGATGAACTATAATCCACATATCCGTAGTGTTATTGTAAATGGAATAAACCGGCAATTACATGATTTAACAAGGTGCAAATAGTTGTTTGTTAAAGCGTAGCTTTCCTGGTATTCAAAAAGCCCTACGTAAAGGCCTATTAAAATAAAAAGTAAACATATTTTGACTTTGTTAACATTTAAAAATATTGGACGGTTTTCTATAGTAGAACCAGGTGATCCCTTCCACTCAGTTTTATAATATTATTATTACGTCAATAATAATCTAGAAAATTAAGACGTTTATAGAAAAATCTGTTTCTTATTTCAAACCGTACGTCTCCTATAATGTTAGGTTAGCGCTAGGAAATGTTTAGAATAAAACAATATTTTGATATAAAGCATGAAATACAAAAATACATTGAAGAAGATAGGATTAATGAAATATCTCCTTGTTTAAATAAATATGTAAACAGAAGTAATCTCTCCGATATATTTGATATTTATAACTACTTTTAGTATGATAATAAAATCATCTTTCATGTAATAAAATATTGTCTTTATAGTGTGATAATATCAAAACAAAAACCTTTTTTTCACCCTCTTTTTTTTAAAGAAACAGTCCCTTACTTTCATTAGTTTTTTTTTAAATGAGGTTCTCAATTCGACTGTTTTTGTTTTGTTTTCTTTCTATTATTTGTATGTTACGCGATATCTTCGTCACTTGTGAACCAATCATTTTTTTTATAACACTTTCAGGGCACATTAAAAAAAAAAAAAAAAAAAAAAACTCCTTACATATGAAATTAGCGTTTTGTCGTACTGACCATTTTGATCTCAAATAATCACATCTCTCTTTGGTTAAGAATTCCAAATTTAAATTTATAAATTCATTTATCTGGTACTTTTGAGTTTTGAAAACAGTCATTCATTTGTTTCTTCCTCATTATTTTTTTCTTTGGCGTCGCTTATTACCGCACAATGGAAAACATGAAATATCTGTATATTTACGAGTACGAGTTCTACCATGGCACCAGTGCCGCAGAAACAGCTCGAAGGATAAATGATGTGTACAGCGCTGGTGTCGCAACAAAAAGAACTGTACGTTTTTGGTTTAACGTTTTCTTTCTGGAAATTTCGACCTCCAGAACCAATCCCGTGGACGGTCGGAGATCAAAGTGGAAAATGAAGAATTAAAGGCTATTGTGGAAGCGGATCCATCACAAAGCACTTCAGAGATATCTGCAGGCTTTGGGGTAAGTAATAAAACTGTATTAATCCATTTGAAGCGAATCGGGAAAGTAAAAAACTTGAACGATGGGTACCACATGAATTGAGTGAACCGAACTTGCAAACGTGCATCGACTGCTGTATTACTTTGCTCAACCGACACAAAAATAAAGGGATTTTAAATCGAATCATTACTTGCGATGAAAAATAGATACGACTGTACGATAATCGTAAGCACTCGTCGCAATGGCTGAACCCTGGAGACCCAGCCACATCCTGCCCTAAACGAAAATTGACTCAGAAAAAGTTACTTGTGAGTGTTTGGTGGACTAGCGCCGATGTTGCTCACTACAGCTTTTTAAAATCTGGCCAAACGATTGCGGCAGATATCTTTTGTCAGCAACTGCAAACTATGAAGGAAGAACTAACTGCTAAATAACCGAGATTGGTCAATCGCTCTAGGCCACTGCTGATTCACGACAACGCAAGACCACACACTGCACAACAAACAACCACTAAGTTAGATGAGCTACAATTGGAATGTCTGCGACATCCACCGTACTCCCCGGACCTTACTCCAACAGATTACCATTTTTTCCGGAATTTGGAAAACTTCTTACAAGGAAAAAAATTCAACTTCGATGCGGCAGTCCAAACTGCCTTCAAAGAGTTTATTGATTCTCGCCCTCATGGTTTTTTTAGTAAAGGGACCAATGAACTACCTATGAGATGGCAAAAGTGCATAGATAACAAAGGTGCAACTTTGATTAATTAAACATATTTTACGAAAAAAATTGACTTTATATTCCTTCCGTACGAAACGCCGATTTCATATGTAAGGACCTATTATTTCTTAGTCCGCTTAAAATGGTCAAAAATGAAACTATAAATAAAACTATACCTATATACGGATTTTATCGCGTTTAATTAACTTATTTATGATTCCCGACGTTTCGGGTGCTTTACAGCACCCATGGTCACAGGAGAATGTGGTGATTGACGTCCCGATGTCAAAGTTACCTCGGAGTACCTTCAGTTTTTTAAATATTAATTTTCGGTCAGATCTATGAATTAAAATTAAAAATTCAAAAATTAAAATCTAAATTAAAAATTAAAAAATTAAATTAAATTAATATTTAAAAAACTGAAGGTAGCCGGGCTAAGAGTGTCATTGAGACGTCAAGCACGTCAGTCCCCCTCGTTACCATGGGTGCTGTAAAACACCCGAAACGTTGGGAATTAAAAATAGATTAATTAAACGCGATAAAATCCGTATATAGGAATAGTTTTTAGTCAATGTGTAGTGTTCGCGTCAACTTAAGAAATTAAACTTTTAATAACGTACGTTTAATAACTTCAAAGAAATAAAAAAAGTGAAATAGTTTCCACATAATATCTTCCAAAGCTTTAAATAGAACTTATGATTTTGATTACGCTTACTCTTTGAATTTTCAAACTGTATTTTTTGGTGAAGTTAACATCTGTGTCATATTGTTGAAATCGTCTCAAAAGAATTATAACATCACATTTCGCTCACATAAGTGATATGACGTAATAACTGGGTCGTTCTTTATACAAATTGATGCATCGAGTATGATTTTGATTACGCCAGACGTCCAGCCAGCGGCGCTCTATGAAAACATGGCTAAAAACGGTAACGAACTAAATTAACGGGCTACTTTACACTTTCACTCATGATTAGGACTCTAAATGAGGTTTATTTGTAAGATACTCAATCTAGGTAACGGTGCAGTGTTTGACGGTGACTTAGCTGCTCGGCCTGCTTTAGTTACAATCTTAAATAAAAGTTAATATCTTAATTAATTATTGTAATATATTAAAATTAGTTCTAATTTCTACGCCAGAATGCAAAGAAATTTCTCCAAAACGAAAAAATAAAATTGTATCTGAATAATGCAATAAAACAGATACAAGAATAATATAAAAGTTAGATTATAACATTATATTAACATTTATAATGTTTAAATATTTTATTTTAGAGTTTCAGTTTTTATTTCCCTGTCACACATATCTTTAAATCTATCTATATTTGTAAAATCTGGTCCTAAGTGCTAGTCATATGAGGAAGCTCAAGGTCATTCAGCGAGCTGTAGATAGGGCAATGTTCAAAGTTTCCCTGCGCAATAGTCTTAAAAATGAGGAAATCTGCAATAGAACCAGAGTAACCAATATAACCGAGCGGATCAATCGGCTGAAGTGGCTGGCCATGTAACTCGAAGAACGGACAGCCGATGTGGAAAGAAGTTCTCGAGTGGCACTCTCGTACCGGTAAGTGGAACTTAGTGCGGCCCCTCACTAGATAGTTTGGCTGACGAACTCGTAAGAGATGTACCTAGGCAGTCGATGGATACCTACACGTGGTTCAGAACCACGCTTTTTGGCATTTATCGGGGTAGACATGTGTTCATCAGTGGACTTGTAGGCGGTAATGATGATCATGATGATGTATTACAATTAATAATTGACCATATTTCCCAAGCATAAAAATAAGTCTAAATGTTTTAAAAAACGTCACTATTATATACACAATGTCTATTCGTTTAGATTAAATCAAAGGAATTTTGATTAGTCTTCCTCGTGCGTGAAGATTCGTTTACAAGACAACGAAATCTCTTGCGTTATATCACATAACAGCGGTTTTCTGTGTGTGCAAACACTAACAGAGACATAAACAATTGCGTCAAAGAAAAATCATAAATACGTGTAACACGTGAGCTTAGACGTCGAACAAAAGACATGTGCTGTGCATACGCTATGAGGATGACACACCGTCATAAGTAATTTCGTTTTTTCCTGTAATTAAAGAAGGCACTGTTATTCAAAAGTTTCATCTGATTTAATAAATTATATCAGATGAAATAAAAACGTTGTTGTTTTTTTTTTAAAACGTAATTATTTTAAAAAAACATAACCTATTCGTTTCATTTCTCCACGAATTAACTAAATAAATTGACATTAGAGAAAATATCCTCATGCAAAAGAGAACAAACGATTGATAACTTATGGGAATGAGGTGTTTCCAATTATTGTGTTCAATTGTACGTCATAAGTTGTAAGTAATTTTTAAGCATCCCGTTGGGTTTTTTGCTTCCGCTGGAACCAGTGGTAA